CAAGTCTCCTGAATTGAAAACGTGCTTTATAAGTACAGGCCATTTTTGTGATCAGTGACCAAAGCTTTCCTTTTTGACATGCTCCACCAGTCAGTGATAAAGTGAGTTTAGAAAACTTAAATGCAGGTTTTACAAGACCCAACTCCAAGTTTACTATAACATCTATTAAGAGAGACTACAAATACAATTTACTACTACAATAAGCAAGGGAGTCCTTCGCTGAGATCATCAGTTCACTTTCAACAGGTTAACCAACCCTGCAGTGGCTCGATCATCTGAACTCTACTGTACCAGAACAGGTCATGAATCTCCTAACGTCTTTACTGAAAAACCATGAAAATAAGAGGGCCCATCAGAGCTACATCTACATCAAGTCCAGTACTAAAGTTGTCCTCAACTGGAACTGATTTTATTGAAACGCCCCAAATGTTGATAAACTACAAGAACTTCATCAACTAAATACAAATGGCTAGGACTTATAAACAGGGTTTCTGTGGGTCATTAAAAGTCATTAAATTATTGTTTAAATTAAGGCCTTAATTGGCATTAAAGTTCATTAAATTTGATAATCGTGGCATTAAAATGCTTCGGAAAAGAAGCTTGAAGCGGAGAAAAGGCTAGAGCATGGGGTAAATGCAAATTTGAACCAAAGTGGCGGGAAAACGAGGAGGTCGGGACATGGCTGCAGCCTGTCCATGGTGCAGATGACGAAGGATTTTGCCGTGTATATATATATATATATATGTATAAACCGGGCGACCCTCCCCCACCCCCCTGCTTGCAAAGTGAAGTCCTGCATCACTGAGCTTCCTTTCCTGCTGCTTTGAGATTTTACCCACAGCTTTTAAAAAGAGTTTCACCTGTTACTACATCTGAGTCGTGTCCTTTTTGCCAGGTGTTTTCCTCTGGGACCTTAAAACGGTCAATGATTATGATCATTATCAGAGAAATCTGCAGGATGAGAATGTTTTCTCAGATTTCATTTAAGGAACTGAAACTGAAGCTGATTAACAGTCAAACTAAAACAAAATCCACACACAACAAGTCCTTCACTCAAACATGCTGACCCTGCTAAAGCCATGGTAGGCGAACACTCTAATTCCTTTGTGTTTAACTCATTAATATCGTAAAATTCTTATTGCTAACAACCTGATTTGATGCTTAACAGATATAACCTAGGTTTACTTCTCTGTGGTGAGCTAATGCATGCTGGGATAGTTTTAGTCATTATTTAAAGAAACTTGTAGAAATTATAGCTGCAGACAATGTGATCTGACTGAATGCACACTAAATTATATTTATCTTATTATTTTATTAAATTAAATAATCAACTTTACATATTTACAATACCAAAAAGTAATCGTTAGTATAATACATGGTATAATACCTATATCTGATGCAATTTAATATCTTTACTTAATCATTTTATCTTTTTCATCCTTTCTATTGAGAAAAAAATCAAAACTATTTGTTGCTGCCTTGCAAAAATATTTTGACCGCCTGCTGACAGTTGAGCTTGTAGTACGGCTTGCACCATAGTGCACTTTGTGGTTCACAGAAACAGGAATTATTGCAGCCAACTTAACTGCTTGAGTAACTAAACAAGAAAATGAATTCAAAGAAAAGGAAACAAGTAACCTAATCTTAGTCCCTTTTAATGTCCTAATACTAATGTAGGCCACAAAGTTACAACACAGATCTACAAAACTCATCCCAGCAAGTGAAATAGTTAGTAAACACTTAAAAACATTTTTATTCAGTGTATCAGTGTACTTATTTAATGAATAAACAAATATTTCTCTACTACATTAAAGCATGTAATCAAACCAATAAGATGAAGTGATCGGAGAATAAATTGTTTTCTATTCATGCATTTTTAAGTCAAGCTGAACATCAATATAAAGTTAAAAAATATTACTCAAGTACTTTAGCAGACTTTAAACCAAATACATTTTATATTGATAAATAATTTAGTTGGATGGCTTAACTTCTTAGTTCTGAGTAAAAATAAATCAAAGTACCGTATTTTCACGACTATAAGGCGCACTTAAACGTCTTTTTTTTTCCTCAAAATGTGCGGTGCGCCCTATGGTGCGGTGCGCCTTATGTGTGTTGTAACTGCGACTTTTGAGACCACCTCATTGAGGAGATGATGAAAGAGTGGCTGAATGTAAGGAGACCAGGTGTTTTTTTTCCACCCCTCACCATCGCTGTTAATATGTAACTCCATGCGTGCCCATCTCACAGCTGATGTGAAAAACATGGGGAAACAAATTAACGCTGCTCGACATCGGTGTGAACCGGACGCAGCAGGTGCAGCAGAAGCAGCGAGTTTACATGCAAAGTCAATGGTTGGCGCATATAGGTGCAGCAAAAGGTCCCGCAGCGCATTTTGGTGCAGCACGTCGGGAGCGTTTAAGCATCTGAAGCGCCGCGCTTCTGCTGCTCGAGATGGAAAAATTGAAGTTTTGCTGCTGGACGCGCCGCATCAACCAATCAGAGAAGCTGATCTGGGAGCTGCCAGCGAGACAGACAGCGCTCTGATGACATGATATTAACGCAAATGGAAAAGGCTGGATGGATGCGTGGCTGAGGCAGGTGTATGTGAGAAGACTAGGTGTTTTTTTCCACGCATCACCATCGCTGCGTGCCCATCTCACAGCCGATGTGAAAAAAGGTGAATCAAATGAACGCTGTGCTCGCCGTTATCTCGGGGGTCTGACAAAGGAACTTCAACCGCTCGACATCGGTGTGAAGCAGCCGTTCGAAGTAAGGCTGCAAGCGGCGTGGGAGCGATGGATGACCGACGGAGAGCACAGTTTCAGGATAAGAAGGCAGCGCCGGGCAGATTACGCCACAGTTTGCGGATGGATTGTAGATGCTTGGACTAAAGTGTCTGCTGGCTCTGTTGTTCAAGCTTTCGCAAAAGCCGGCATTATTTCTGAGGAGCCGCGCTGCACGGAAAGTGACTGACAGCGAAGAAGGGGAAACTGGCATGTCTGATTTAGCGCAGCTGTTTAATTCAGAAACAGAGGATGATGACTTTGATGGGTTTGATTAATACTTTGTAATAAATACATGAATAAAGCACAATCATACTCAGTTTTGCTCCCGCTGTATTTTTCTCCCTGAAAACTTAATTCAACAGCAGGGCGGGTCTGGGCGGGTCTCCTCCTCTTCATCGCGGTGGCTGGCAGGTGTTTTTTCATCTAAATAATCTAAATCTTGCAGCTATATTTGCTGTGATCAGTGGGAATAAAGTAGTTTTAATATGTTTTTAAGTGAGAAAGTCCACCTGAAAACTTAATAATTGCAGTCAGTTCATCCAGATTATCTATTTCTGTCGGAGGCGCTCAGACCCCCACATACCAGCGGTGCGCCGACAGGAGAAATCCTTTCGTTCACCGCGGCTGCTGGCAGGTGTTTTTCATCTAAATAATCTAAATCTTGCAGCTATATTTGCTGTGATCAGTGGGAATAAAGTAGTTTTAATATGTTTTTAAGTGAGAAAGTCCACCTGAAAACTTAATAATTGCAGTCAGTTCATCCAGATTATCTATTTCTGTCGGAGGCGCTCAGACCCCCACATACCAGCGGTGCACCGACAGTGGAAATCCCTTCATCAGCAGCCTCTAGGCTGGGCAGCCTGGGGTTCACCGCGGCTGCTGGCAGGTGTTTTTCATCTAAATAATTTTAGCTGCAGGCACCAGGATACCGGCAATAAAAGCGAACATATTCTGTCGGCAGGTTTCAGGATTTTAAGTTAATTTAGGAGTGACCACAGCGCTGTGTCATCTGCAATGTCTCTGTCTCACGGCCAGCTGCCAGGTTTGATTAATACTTTGTAATAAATACATGAATAAAGCACAGTCATACTCAGTTTTGTCCCCGCTGTATTTTTAAATACGCAGTAGAGGTATTTAAAGGTAGTAGAGGACTTGTACCTGTATATAAAAAACGCGCCCTATAGTCCGGTGCGCCTTATGTGTGTGTTAAATACAGAAATGGGACACATAACTGAGAGTGCGCCTTTTAGTCCGGTGCGCCTTATGGTCGTGAAAATACGGTAGTACTACTTTTTCTAAGTACAAGGAGTTCAAAGAAAAACTATTGATAACAGTTTTTTGTTTTTTTAAAAGCTGCTTCTAAAGCTGCCTTTTAAGTAGTGTTGCACTGATGCCATTTTTGGCCCCGATACCGATACCCGATACTTGGCTGTGCAGTATCGGCCCATACCGATACCATCTGTTTGAAATTGATGTGTGTGCATATATATGAAGATCTACATACTACTTGGATGTAAAATAATTGCCATCATGGCTTTGTGAAGCTGCTGCCTATGAAGGACCAACTCTGCCATATTTAAAAATAAATACAGAAATAAATAAATGCTCAATAAATGTATAAGCATGCAATTAATTGCCAACAAAAAAGTGAGACATAAATGTATATAACTCTTAATTAGCTTCTTTATTTATTTGCCTTTGTAATATTTACCTTATTTATTTTTCTGTCCTTTATATCCCTTTATTTTTTAATTACTTATATTTTTAAGTATTTATTTATGTGCATGTTATAATATTTTTGTCTGTTTTATTCTTCCTTTGTATTTTTTTACCTTAGTTATTTCTTCACCGCTGTTTATTTCTCTCTGCCCTTTTTACATTTCTCTCTGCCCTTTTTACATTTCTCTCCGCCCTTTTTACATTTCTCTCTGCCCTTTTTACATTTCTCTCCGCCCTTTTTACATTTCTCTCTGCCCTTTTTACATTTCTCTCCGCCCTTTTTACATTTCTCTCTGCCCTTTTTACATTTCTCTCCGCCCTTTTTACATTTCTCTCCGCCCTTTTTACATTTCTCTCTGCCCTTTTTACATTTCTCTCCGCCCTTTTTACATTTCTCTCTGCATTTCTACCTCATTATGCAAATGAGGAGGGGGTGTGTCCTAGAGAGTCAACTTCTGCTCATTGGTTGGCTTGGCGGTCCATCTTCTTAACTCACAGAGCTCAGAGTACTAAGTTAAATGTTCTCTTTTCTGTTGCTGTTGTTCAATTAAAGTATGTTTTAAGATCATTTGAGGTGAGAACCTTATACATTTAAGCATCACCACATGGCCCATTCACAGATTTAATGCGTAATTTAAAAGAAAATGTGACGAACTTGAGAGGACCGCGGCAACCAGCGGAGCTCCGAAGCTGACGGCAGCTAGTCAGTCCTAATCCTCTTCTGTCAGCGCCCCCTGTGGAGCAAAAATAATGTTAGGACAGTCTGCTCTTCTTTATAAATTTGAAGTGAAAGGACTTGATTTCTCCATCAAATCCTCACAAATCCCTCTGCAGCAATCACTCCTTTGTTTAGCCTCTTATCTCTAAGTGAAGTGCCCAGATTACATCTGCATTTTTTCCCTTTCTTTTTTCCTCTCCGGATTTTTTCCCATGTTCAGCAAGTTTTGAGCAACTGACGCCCATTTCCAAATGAACAAAACGAGAGCCTGAAGAGGAAAACCAGCAAACATCATCATCATCATCTTCCCAAGTTTTAGAGTAAGTAACGCGGAGCTTTGCTTCGGTGAATTAAAATGTATTTGCGCTGATTTTCTTTCCGTTTCTTATTCTCTGCTGTTTGTTTTCATAGTAATGTGGCTGTAATCTGACATCCTGTGTGGCTGTTGACTCTGTTATTTCATCTCAACTGTCGGTGCGAGGTTTGCGCGTTTTCTCACTATGTGCGTGTTTTCCCCCTATTTAACACGTGCTTCAGTGACAAATGGGGCATAAGGGAGTCCTTTCCTTCAGGGGCGGAGCTAGATGGGGGGGCCAGGGGTGGCCATGGCCACCCTTAGCCAATCATTGGCCACCCCAACCATTATTTCGCCCTCTAATACAGACGGAATGTTTAAACTTATTAAACATTTAATTTTTCATATATTAATCGTTACTTGAGAATTAAAATGCTTTGGTTAATTATGCACATCAAAATACTACCATTAAATTTGATATATACAAAAGGCATTCTCTTTTAAGACCCTAATTTTGTGTTTTATGGGGTAAAGAGAAAATTATGTCTCTGCATACATCAAGGAGTTTTCAGTGAAATCATAGATAAATAACTACTTTAATAATAACTTAAAAATCAATTTAATGTAGATATTAGTAAATATCATATAAATGTAATGTGGAACAATTTTTAATAAAAGTAGGTAAGTAATGACAATGGAAAAGATGTTTGCCCCAGACATTTTGTCCACTATACCTTTTATTTAGACAGGATGGATGTTTAAATATATGCATCTATTTGTAATCAAAAGGCTTTAGAAAAGTATAGTTTGTCTTTATTTAGAAAATATGGATGTTGTGCTCGTTCCTGTTGGAACAGTGTAGATGGACCCTGAGGTTCTGGCGCCTATCCGCTTTCAACCACCCCCCAGTTTACATTGGTTTTTGACTGCCCACCCTTATTAAAATTTCCGGCTACGCTTCTGCTTTCCTCCCAGTTCAATGACATTTTAACACAGTAGATTTAGTTTACTTCACATTTCTTGGCAAAATACTTAAATGTTTCAGCTCACTAAGGAAATTTGATCAGAAACACGACATGAAAAAGACTCATTTAAAGCTACAGTGTGTAACTTTTAGCGACATCTAGCGGTCAGACTGCAGACTGCAGCAACATGAACATCTCCCCCCCACCGCTTCTCCCCCCCAACAGTACGGCGAGCGTTACGGGACAAAATGTCTTCCACGACGTCCGCATCACCTACCTTCTCAAGTGATGAGGTTTGTTTACATAGATAATTTTACAGATAGTATTCTCAGGCATAATACTGCCATCTATTCAGTTCAGTACCGTCTCAGTTCATCTCTCTCAACTTGCCGTAGTTACTTTCGAGCGTAATGGGCGATCTCGCAATTGCTAGTTTGTTGGCTCTGCGCTGCCGTAGCGCAAAGATGTCTGCCTCCATGGCTGCGAGACCCGCTCCTATGTAATTATAAATAACGAATTCTAAGGCAACGCAAATATTAAGGTTAAGAGGCTGAGCTCGTAGATGATGATAAATAACATAGTTATGTATAATATATTACATTTCTGACTGTATATCCCTGTAATTATTACACACTGTAGCTTTAAGCTCATTTTACAGCAACAGTTACCATTTTGTATTTACATGAAGTTGCACTAGGTCCTAAAAATATTGCTAACTGTATAAGTGCAAATACTGATAAATAGGCAAAACAAGGATTTAAAAATACAACAAGTATTGAGTTTTGTGATTTAATGTTATACAAATATACTTTATAGACTTGAATGCTTTATAGAAAAAGTATTGAATTATTTTTTTTTTTTAGGATAGCCACATTGGAGGGTTTAATGCACAACATCTCAAATAACTTGGTGCTCAAACTTTGACTATGTCGGTTTTATGACTTTATCATTTTTGATAAAAGACATAAAGGCATCCTCTGGCCAGCCTCAATGACCAGACATTGTGGTCATTGTTCACATTCCCTAATGGGTAGACCCTGAACATACATCTTGAACATTTCTTGGGAAGAGCATTATTCATGATTCTTCATCCAAGTCCTAAAGTAGTACACACTTTTTAATGATTTAAAAAAAAAATTTTAATCAAAATATTGCATTGGTTTTACACTATATGAGACGTTCCCAAAATCAAATGTCTTAGAGATAGACATTTATTTTGAAATGTGAGATGAAGCCTTGTAGATGATTCGGTCAGCATTAGTTAAGGCATAAGTGAGGCTTAGAGTGTTTTACAGTAGAGGATATTCTGCTTTTTATTGATCAATGTTAATGAATTTTGGATAATTTTAGTATGCTGGAGAATCTAGGGATTTATTACCTTTTAAAATTTTCTTTTTACCCTCTCCAAACAAACACATGAAACAGATATGTGTACCTTTCAGCCCACTTTATGCTTTTAGAAAAGCACTTTTTGGAGTATTTCTTGGTTGTAATGTTTGGTATTATCATTTATAACAGATATTTTTTATATAATATGATTCTCTTTTTCTAATCTGTTTGTGGAGTATGTCAATTTATTTTTTTAAACTCTGGAATCTGTTACATTTTTATGTTGCATACTCACAGTCAGGGCCGCAACTACCATTGAGGACACAGATGTTGTGTCCTCTGTATTTAATTAATTAATTTATTTATTGCTTAAATTGTGATATAAACTAAATAAATTACAGTGAAACTGACTGGAAGTTGATGATCTTGGTCTCCCACTAAACTGTTAGGTGTTTTATATTTGAAGAGCCAAAACTGTGCATGAGTGGATCTTATCCTTTGTAACATGTGAATGTGTGTGAATATTGAGAGTCCTGTAGCTCCATACTGAACTGTTTTAAATATATGAAGCGACTCATTTCAATTATAGTGGAATGTCTTTGGTGATACATTTCTAAGCAGTTGCAGACAGAAGCTTCAAAAGAAAGAGACCATAAGAATCTGGTTTATAATGTCTGAAATGTCTGGTGAGTAAAAGAAAGGAGAGTAGAAACGCACAGCTGAGTCTTTTCAAAAGTAAAAATGATTTTTATTGCTCCTTAAGACTGTGAAAATGGCCAGATTTAAATAATGGAATTAAAAACATCTCTGAGGGAGCACGTCGCCAAACGCGCCTAGAAGTTTTGACTCTTGACCTCAGTATTTTTTAGGCCCTGCTCACAGTATTAGATATGCATTCAGCTAATACAGGGAGAAATTCTGATTTCTCCACACATGGAGCTGATTATTCTGTGGGGGAGTAACAGTTCCACTCTAAGGGAGAGTAGATAAAAGTTCAACAGCCTTTAGACAGTCACACTCTGCTGAGTGGAAAAATAAAAGGGTGGTGTTAAATTCCTGCTTTGCATTGTTCAATAGACAGACAGTCACCATACGAATGCCCTGATATGAACTACAGTACTATCCACAGAGAGAACATCCAAACTCCATGAAGAAGTTTCCCAGGTTTAGATTCCCTTTGCAGAATAGATACAGCCATATGAAAAAGTTTGGGTACCCCTATTAATGTTAATTATTTTTATTCCTAAATATTTGGGTTTTTGCAACAGTTATTTCAGTTTGATATATCTAATAACCAGAGATGGCAAAAGTACTCACTTTCCGTACTTGAGTAAAAGTACAGATACTTGTGTTAAAAAATACTCTTGTAAAAGTGGAAGTACTGATTAAACTTCTTTACTCAAGTAAAAGTAACAAAGTACAGGCTTGTAAATTTACTTAAAGTACAAAAGTAAAAGTAGAAACCACTTTTTTCATGCCGTTGCCTACATTTTAAATGGATGTCTGCCAATAGGACTAGATCTCCGTTGTGTTCATTTTCAATCATCTCGTCGTCCATACTACTATGCTAACGCCACCGCCACCAAGCTGCAATGATTTGCCGCCAATGAATACTGCAGAATCTGTCGATTCATCTTGTAGTGGTGCGTCAAATGCAACGTAGATTCCCATCCAATTAGATTGAATTTGGTATTGATGACGTGAAAAATAATAACAGTAACTCCATTGAAATGATTCAAAACTAAAGTAACGAGACAATTTTTTAAAATGTAAGGAGTAGAAAATTCAGGGGCATCTCTAGGTTTAAGAGACAAGGGTGGCTCAGCCCCTAGAAGATAATTTTTTCAGTGCACCTGCTAAGGCGTTGTCTAAGACAAGGGTGTAACTTTGTGTTGAAAGTTGGTGGGGACGGCTCATAAGGAAAGGGAGCTACCTGCGCGACGCCTTTTTTTTTTTGTTGGAAAGGATAAAGCCAAAAAAATGCGAATAACATTTATCAATTTAATGCTTACAGTTGAAAACATAACTGTTACAATATTCACTTATATATTTTGTGCAAAAAATATCACATAAATCTAAACAGACAGTACAAATCAAAGAAATCAAATAAATATATCAATTTTGTAGAACATTTATTGACAGTCAATTTTGGGTCACTTTTTAAAATTAATTTACTTTTAAACCAGGACTCGGACAAGATCTTATGGGACCTTAAGCAGAATATGATTAAGCAACTCCGTCTTTCTGTCAAGAACATCCACCAGCAGGGTATCCAGGGGGGATTTACCATTAGGCAATACTAGGCAGTTGCCCAGGGCCCCAAGTTCTGGGGGCCCCATAAAACTCTGTTTCCATGTATGGTTAATACAACTAATCCTTATTTGTGCACATTAATTATGTTTTTGATAAAAATCCTTTGGCTAAAATGCCATCAGAACGCTGATAAATAGAGAGGAAAAAGGGACAAGAAGAGAGGGACAAAACCTAGAACAGATAATGGATGTCTATTCTATTAACATTTCTCTATCTGTAGAATGGGTCTGTTTTATGGGTTTACTTCTCAGGGGGCCCCCTGCCTGTCTTTGCCTAGGGCCCCAAATTTCCTAAATCCGCCCCTGAGGGTATCAATACTGATTTGATAGAATCTGGGAGAGCGGACCATTTTCAACCATCCATTTTCTTTAACCTTATCCCTCAGTGGGATCAGGAGGTGCTGGTGCATATCTCTAGC